TTTTACAGTATCGGCCCCGATACCCGATACCAGTATCGGTGCATCCCTATTAAGAGGTGCTTATCCAACCACTCACTGTGCATGACAGCGAGGCCTCAGTTTACATCCTTGTTGGGAAATTAGCCAACACACACTGCAACAGATTTCTGAGAACAGCATCGAATTACTGCTAAGCTGATGCTAATGGGCAACCTGTATAAGAAAGGATGCTTTGCTTCATGCTTCACCAGCTTCAGTGACACTTTAGGAAATATATGCAGCTGATCAAAAATAAGCACATGGAATTAATAACTTGTAAAATGTATATTTAAGAAACTCCAACCACAACAAAAATAGCATTTCTGCAAGCTGTGTAGCTTCCAGTGTTTAGCCTAATTCAGAACACAGGCTTTATATTGTTGGTGTTCATGTTGCCCACCAGAAAACACACATTTTAATCTGTCTTTTATTCAAACAGTTGACCAGGTTTGAGAGATTTGAAGCCTTAAGACAGCACTCGCCTTTAATGAAACCACAGGATAATGAAAGTTGTCTGGTAAGAGAGCCCAGCCTCCTCGTCCCGCCAGCTCGTTCATCTACGGATTCAAACTTTCTTAAATGTTTATTTTCGGGAGCTGTGTTGGATCCTTCTGTTTACAGTGTGCTTTGTTATTCAAGCGAACGCGGGAGCAGAACGGTGAGCTGACCACATCGAGAGTGCGGAGGACAGAGCTGGAACATCCATCTCAGAGTGACAGGAAACACATCGAGGCCTCACCAGAGGGAACACAAACTATCATCTCTGTATGTCATGCATCTGCAAATGTTGTGTTAATGCAGAAATTTGTTCATGGCTTCATGTAATGAAATAACAAACAATAGTAGGAGAGGGACCAAAATGATCTAGTTATCCAGGCTCAGCTGTGAAACACATCCTCACACTCCAATATGAAAAATAATTTTCCTGTTTAAATGCATTCAATGACATCCTATCATCAGCTAGCATTGCTAACATTTTCAGCTCAGTATGAGCGGACAATGCTGGGCCAGGTTAGCCTTCTGAGGGAACTTAAATTTTGTTAGTGCCCCAGAACTATTCTTTGCATTTTTGAATGCATAGTGATCAGTACTTATTGGTAGTTTCTTCAGGATTACCTTCACATCACTTATTTAACTGACCAAAACTCAGAATAGTGTGAAAGTCCAAGAAAATCAGTGAAGATCTAAAAAAGGGAATTGTAGATTTGCACATGTTGGGAGCCAGATACTTATAAGACGTATGTTTGGAGGTGTAAAGACGAGGCTTTGTCAAGCATTATGCTGTGTTTGGCTGCCAGTAGTACAGGTATAATGCACAAAGTAAATGAAATAATAAAGGACAAGGAGTACCTCAAAAATGCTCAACTTCACCACAAATTCAATTCAATTCAATTTTATTTATATAGGCGCTTCATAGATACAGAGAAAAACCCAACAATCATATGACCCCCTATGAGCAAGCACTTTGGCGACAGTGGGAAGGAAAAACTCCCTTTTAACAGGAAGAAACCTCCGGCAGAACCAGGCTCAGGGAGGGGCGGGGACATCTGCTGTGATTGGTTGGGGTGAGAGAAGGAAGACAGGATAAAGACATGCTGTGGAAGAGAGACAGAGGTTAATAACAGATATGATTCAATGCAGAGAGGTCTGTTAATACATAGTGAGCGAGAAAGGTGACTGGAAAGGAAAAACTCAATGCATCATGGGAATCCCCCGGCAGCCTACGTCTATTGCAGCATAACTAAGGGAGGATTCAGGGTCACCTGGTCCAGCCCTAACTATATGCTTTAGCAAAAAGGAAAGTTTGAAGCCTAATCTTAAAAGTAGAGATAGTGTCTGTCTCCCAATTGCAGCTACATGGTTGAAACTTGACACAATTGGGTTTTCTAACAGACAGTGATCCCAAACTCACATCAGAACTGGTCAAAGGCTAAAGTTGAGCTTCTGCAATGACTTTCCCCAAGCCCCGACCACAACCTCAAATATCCAGCCAAATTATTTCAGACGCTTGTTGATGGCTACCAAAAGCATCTGGTGGAACTTGCTAAAGGTCACTAACTGACTATTAGTGGGGTTGTATGGATATGTATTTTTGACCATGTGTATTAAGATAAAATCCCCCAAAATGTACACTTGTGTACCCAATTCTTGTTGTTTTTTTTAATCATTTTGACATGTATGCAGTACAACCATTGCACCTTGTAAAAAGTGCAGTTTAAAGAAATCACTAAAAGATGATGTGCAGTATACAGTTTAGCCAAACTCATTTAGATTTCAGAGAAACAGGATGTTAAAAGCTGAGCACAGGAAGTTGGGGATTAAGTTCCTGGACTTCTGCTATAAAAAGCAAAGCAGTGTTTGCAGGATTAGGTATTTTGCTTGCCAGAGGAGCTGGCGTGTCTGGGATACTGAGCTGTTCAGTCACATGAGGAATCAAACACAGCAGCTTAGGGCCCTGACTCAGCTTTCTGCTTGGTTAGCTTCGTCTTTTATTTATCCTAAAATTCCTGTGGCACAAAATCGACAGAGAACATGACAGAGAAGCAAAAGCATATACTGCATAGGAGATAACAACACGAATGAATGTTTTTATTGTGCAGAACAGAGACATGCAGAAAGGTGAAGCAGAGAAGACGGATGCTGACCATGGGAGACCAATTACTAAAGCGCACCATAGGTCCAGTATCTCTCTGGAAAGCCTCTACAGCCTCAACAGCAGACAAAGCTCCTCAAGTAAGCACCTCTGGGCACAGACCCAAGCGCATCCTTCACACCACAACCCAATGAATTATGCAGTCCTTGTGTTCTGAGTATCCGATTACCCCTCTTCTGATGCACTAATTTGTCCAGCTACACTGACCGCTGACATATCAAAAACAGAATCCCCATCTCACACTTGTGCTGCTGTGTTACTGAAATGTGGATGAGCATTTTAATTCTGCTGCCCTTTGCTGAAGCCTCTTGTGTTCTGCTTCCCAGGTGGAGTCACCAGTGGGTCAGACTATTCCAGTAACAGAAACAGTCTGAAGCTAGAGGACGATCTGCTGTGCACAAGACAGTTTTGTGGCAGAGCCAGAGTCCATACAGAGTATGTGCCAAGTCCATACGACACCGAGTCCCTCAAACTCAAGGTAAACAAGTACGGCAAGCAAATGGAAAATTATTATATTACTATATTATCTTTGATATTTGTGGATTTAAGTTATGACTGATGTTCAGATGCTAATTTTAGGGCAATCTCTGCTGGTTTTTGAGCCATGCTGGCTACAGTTTTATCACCTTGGTCCAATGATTGGCCCAAAACGTGTACTTTGCTCCCATATCTTTGAGATTAAAGTTTGAATCTTTATCAATGTTCTCTACGTACTATTATCTATTAAGAAATGTAATAAAATGGAATGATTTTACTCAGGTGGGAGATGTCATTGACATCATAACCAAGCCTCCCATGGGAATATGGACAGGCATGCTGAATGGCAGAATAGGAAATTTCAAGTTCATCTACGTGGACGTACTGAGGAAGGAGAACTTGGAAACACAAATCCACAGACATAAATCAACTGTCCAGGAAGTGCTGAAGCGTCTCAGTCTTGAGGTATTTTGCTCTTATTTGAACTGATTTCATGTTTTATCCCACATATTAAACATGTAACCAAAATCGGATTTTATCATCTAAAAAATATAGCCAGAGTCCGCCCTATTCTCTCTCGGGCCAACACGGAGATG